GCCCGTCCTGCGCCAGCCTCACAATGGTCCTGTGGGGCTCCTGACTAGCATGGGAAAGAGAGGAGCTGGCCGATCACAGTCCCCTCTTGAGGCCGGCTCACCAACCAGCGCTTTGCCACCGGCTTGAGCTGACTCTGAAGGACCCAGCACATGGCTTGTCACAGTAGCCCAGAGCTTTGTAAGGTTCTCATGACTTTGACCTTTCAGAAGCAGATCACCAGGCCTGCCTGCCGATGTACCTCTGGGTGAGTTCGAACTGAAAACTTTTGGGCTAGTAGTCTAGCTAGAATAAAAAAAAGAAATCCAGCTCAAACTCACTGCCGCGAGTCTATTCTGACTTGTAGCCAGCCAACCTGATAGGGCAGGGTAGAACTGGCCCTGCGGGTTTCCAAGACTGTAATCTTTTGGGGAGTAGAAAGCCTCACCTAGCTCCCTACAAGGGGCTGGTGGTTTCAAACAGCTGACCTTGTGGTTATAGCCCACGTGTAACCCACTATCTCAGCAGGGCTCCATAGCTAGCAACTCTTAAAGCTGATGTCATAGAGATGGGAATTTCCCAGTTGCCATTTCCAAGGCTGCCAGGGTAGAAGTAAGGACATAGGTGACCTTCAGCAGTTAGTACCCTGCTGTCTTAGCACCCTGCACTCTGGTTCTGCCTCTTCCTTCCACCCACCTGACACTGCCCTCTGTGTCCTTGTGCCCATCTGCCCTGGCCAGCGGGACAGTCTGGGCCCAGCAGCCCCCATCTGATAACCCCTCCGTGTGCCCTCCCCAGGGTGGGTCCCTGGCCGTACCTGGATGTCCCGAGCCCTCTCGTAGGACTGGTAAGCCACCTTCTCCTCCATGCTGGCCAGCTCCTGTTTCAGGTTGGTCATCTCGTTCTGGTGCAGTTCAGTGAGGTCATTGAGCTGCTCCTCCAGCCGCTCGTACCTGGCAGACAGAGATGGTGTCACATAGGCCGGGCTCCCCCAGCTGCCCTTTAGCTCCCAGGTGGCTCTCATTCATCCCCTCTGCCATCAATGGCTCATGGCCCCCCACCCGCCACAGGCTCTACTCTATTCTAATTGAGCAGTAGCAGGGACTGCTGGCATAGCACTTGTTACACACAGGCACTGTGCTGGGCCCATAGCCCTCGCCTCTCACCGGATCCTCACCGCGTGGTAAGCGCTAGTGGCAGCCCATTCCACAGATGGGAAGACTGAAGCTCAGAGAGACCAAGGAGCTTGAAAATGGAGGGGTTGGGTATTGAATGACCCCAACCTGGGCTCTTACACCCCAGGTGCACCCTGGGTAGAGGGGAGATGGGGTGGATCAGACAGGTGGAGAGGATGTGGTCCCTTCTCTAGAGACACACAGGAGATCAAGAGATGACTATTAGGTATTTTAGGTGCGCTTGCTCCTCCTCCACAGCAAACAGGAAAGCCGCTGACTCACACAGATCCCTGAGGAGACCTGGGAGCAAGTACCAAGTACCACGGAGAAAGGCAGAGGGCATGCAGGGCCCAGAAGTTTCCTCCGGAAGTTAAATTCACCAGGAATATATTTGCATACTTGGACCTTACACCGTGGGACTCATTCCAATCGCCACAACCACCCCAGGGGGGAGTGACTCCTATCATTCCCGCTTCACGGGCACCAAAACCAGGTCCAGAGAGGTTAAGCCCTGGGCTTCAGGTAAGTGGTAAATAGCGGCACTGGGGGTTGAACCTAGCAGGTTGACTTGGTTTGGTTTTGGAGGGTCGTTGTGGGTTGAAGTTGCCTGGACAGTAAACAGAGTTTGGGGAGAGGTGGGAGTCTCCAAATGAGAGGCCACGGAGATGGGTTCCGACTCAGGCAGTCTCCCCACTTAAGATTCAGGAGGGATGCTCCCGGCACCCAGAGGCAGGTGGGCCCTTCCTTCCATAGCTCCGATGGTCCATGTCTCAAGTCTGGAACAAGGCTTCTCAGGGCATCCTCCTGGCTAAATGCCCCGACCCCACTTCTGCTGCTGGGGGCCCTCTTGGTGCCCGGCGCCCTACCTGTAGCGCTCTTCCTGCAGGCACTGGGTCATGTAGGTGTAGTCCCGCTGCAGCTGCGCCTTGAGGTCCTCCATGGAGTCCTCCAGGTGGGACTGCCCCTCCTTGATCTCCCGCAGCTCCTCCAGCAGCGTGTCCAGGCTCCCAGGGGCGCCGTACAGCGTGTTGGACTTGGGGCTGCCCAGCACGCCGGCGGGCCCCGCCCCGGAGTTGCTGCCCACCCCCGCCGAGCTGGCGCTGGCGCTGGAGCACTCGTCGTCGCTGCCGTACTTGGGGCTGGACACTAGCGTGGCGCTGCCGCTCAGAGCCCGGGCCGCCTCCTCCGGGGGCCCGTCCTCCAGGGGGTCCTTCAGGTGGGCGATGTTGTCGGCGCTGCCGAACTTGTTCCGGATGAGGCTGGCGAACTCGCGGGGCTTGGACACCACGGCCGAGTGGGTGGCCTGCGAGAGGCCCGAGAGGCTGCCCTTGACGCCCTCCACCACGCCGCCGCCGAAGCCGCTGATGCCGGCACGCACGTTGGCGCCCACGTCCTTGAGGCCCTGCTGCATGTCCCGCAGCACGTCCTTGGGCTGCCGCGACGGCCCGTTCTGCTCGATTTCGCGCAGGCGCCGGCGGTAGTGCTCCAGCTTCTTGTGCAGCTGGGCGATGGTCTGCGCCGACTTCTGGTTCTTCTTCTCAAACACCTGCTTGATGCGGGCCGCCTGCTGCCGGTCCGCGTTGTTGGCCAGCTTCAGGTACTCCGCCACGTTGTCGTCCCGCGCCTCCTGCTCGATCTTGATCTGCTCCGTGATCTTCAGGATCTTCTGGTGCAGGTGCTCGATGGCGGCCTTGGTCCGCTGGGGGTCCGGCGCCCCGTCCGGCACGTCCAGGCTGATGGGGCCGTCACTCTCGCCATGGCCGGGGCCACCGGGGAGGCTCAGGCCGGAGAGGTCCCCCTTGTCGACCTGGGGAGAGGGCAAGCAGAGGAAACGTGGGTCAGGCAGAAAGCCACGAACCCATCTGGATGGGGTTTCTCCGCACATGATTTCTCTACCTGTAAGAAAGGTGTGGTGTGGTTGGGGATCTTCAGAGACTAACAGTGGCAGCCCGGAGTGCAGTCAGTAAAGGGGTCTCAGCGCCTTATCTGCCATCTGCCCACGGGCTCCCCACCACTTTCCAGAAAGGCAACCTAGGCAGATCAGGACACTGGCCCAGAGCCATCAAGCAAGGGTGCCGGCAAGTGAACCCCGACCCCTAGAGCGACCTTGTGAACAGCAGAAGGAGACACGGCCCGTCCTGCGCCAGCCTCACAATGGTCCTGTGTTCGAGCCCAGTGTTGAAGCCACCGTGTCACTCCATCTCATCTAAGGACTTCCGCTTTCCTCTGCCCGCCCACATGATGTCCTTCTCCGGGGACTGTCCTCTCCTGACATGAGACCAAGTCTCCATCCATGTCTCTAAGGAACATTCTGATCATACTTCTTCCATGACAGATCTGTTCGGAAGGGACACACGGTGACAAAAAGACAGAACTTCCAGCCCAGCAACACCTGTTGCTCCATCACACAGGCCACGCAGATCGGAGGCCTCCCTCCCCATGACTCACAGGCTGAGTGGTTTCTCAGAGCTGAGACAAAGCTGTCCCTTGCAACTCACCTTCCCCTTAGGACTCCTGTCTTGTGCAAGGCTAACTCTCAGAGTTGGTTGCAGCATGCCCTTTGTCCCTGCCTCCCCCCGCGCCCCCTGCCCAGCAGGCACCCTCCTCTGCGGACACCTCTCCCAGCCCCTCCATTACCTTCCAGTTCTCCGGAGTCGTCAGCAACCTCCTCCGCTTCATGGTGGTGGGAGCACTCAGCCCCAGGAGAGGGGTGCCCCTGCCACCTGCCCTGCTGGCCCAGGGTCCCAGGCATTAAGCCTGAGAAGCCAGGCCAGGGGAAGTGGGGACCAGCTCTGAGGGTCTGAGGGGCCGGCTGCTCAGCAGGGTGTGTGTATGAGCACACAGGAAGGAAATGGCAGCCCCCCTCTGCTCCTCAGCAGGGCTCCCTGAGCACATCAGGGTGGGGACCCCAGCACACCCAGAGTCAGAGAGCCCCAGGCAGAAGACGAGGGCCTGGAGAGAACTCGGAGGAACGAGAAAGGAAGGAGAGGCCACAGAAGATCGGAAACGTGGAAAGCAGGAGGCCAGCAGAGAGGGCGAGTTGGGGGTGCTCCCCTCTGCCTATGGGGAGGACCTCTGTGTCCCCAGCTGAGTGCCCGAGTCTTATCACTAGGCAACAACGGAAGCAGCAGGAAATGGCTCAACCCCATGTATTTATATACACAGCACACCCCGAAATCAGCTGGGTCAGCTCATTCGTC